TTTTTATTTTCTATTTTAATGTTTCTTTTCTTTCCTCTGTCATGATGCTTTTGATGTCTTGTGTGAAGCACTTTGAATTGCCTTGTTGTTGAAATGTGTGACATAAATAAACTTGCCTTGCCTTGCCTCTGGACTCTTCACTGCTGGCTCCTAGACCCTCACCCTGGTCCTAACCTGCCTTCCAACTTTCCAGACCCAGTCCAAGGACTCTTACACTCGAGCTTTATATGGAACTGAACTGAGTTATGCCTGTTTCCTCCCTCAGATCCCTGCTCCCCTGGGTGCTGCTTTAGGGTCACTTCATTTCTAGTTATTTCTTAAACTCTGTTTCCAAATTGGTCATTTGTAGAACCATTATGAGAAGCTCCCATCATTGAGGTCATTTTACCCTGGGATTATCTCAATGGAAATTACACTGAATTATTAACAAACGCCAACATGATTCTGCATCGATGATTCAGATTAAAAATGATTATTCTGGATACGTTGATAGTGAGCTGCACGGTCCACATCATGGTGGATTAAATCCTTTCTAATGGAGCACAATGAGATGCTTTAAATGTGTGCGTCATGTCATGCACACTGAAATCATCAGCTGACACGTGAAGCAGTGAAGTCAAATTAGAGGGTGAAGTTATAAAACTAGAGCTCAGCATCGAGCCTGCAGACAGTCGTGAATTTCTATCTCTCCTTGTTCATTAAGATGAAACGAGAAATTAAAGTCATAACAAGAGAGAATTAAAGGAAACAACAAGGCTGCCATACTGGAAAACGTGCCTTTGAGAATATCATGAGCGCCACGTGCTTCACACGTCCAGAGTCAGTTCAGTTAACATTCAGAAAACAGCGTTTAATCTCTCACATGGATTCTTTCATTCTGTCTCTAAAGTTTGATATAAGCAGGAAAAACTTCAGCAACAAACCAGATACTGATTTCTCTCTGACTTCAAACAATGTGCCCATGTAGTTATAAATAACGCCTCCTCACCGTTTGTTTGTCTGCCCTGAAAGTGTGACCGTGAAAGCAGATTTTATTCGTTTCGATCAAAAGCACTTTCCGCCCTGCTTCTGCGAGTCTGTCCCGCCTGCTGCAGAGTTTGGATTATCATCATGAGGAACCCACACACACTCTGCGTACTTCAACTCTCAAAACTAATATTGTTATCGCTGAGTTTGAGCGACACACGGGGCAGGAGTCATCTCGATGTCAATGTGTTTGTGTGGGTAGTAAAAGCATTCTTGTAAACATAATATCTGGTAAACAGTTCATAACAGGAAGGTAAAGCTTGCACAGCACGTCCTAGGTACAGAGTTGATGATCCAGTTATATATCTTGGGTACTTAGCTGCATAAATTTGCACTTTAAAGCTGCTGCAGGGCGATTGAACAAGACTGTGAATTTAATGCTGTATCCTCCTTTAACCTGCATAAACAAATTACTCCATTGGTGAAATGATTTGAAGTTTGCCTTCAAATCATCTTTTATTATAATTTTATGCCTAGCAAAGGAGCAGATCAGCCCTCAAAATTAGAAGAATGACCTGCTGCAGATGTTTCAAAACAAGCTGGTAGAATAGCAGCTGGAGAACTTTTATTCTGTTCAATTTGAAGGTAGAGAAACTTAAACTGTGCAAAGAGAAAAAGAAAAGTATTCACAGACCAAGAAGTAAAGTTCAGAAGGTCGGTGTGGTCGTCAATCGCTCTTCAAGGCAGGAACATTTAAAAAAAGGAACATTTAGGGAGAATCTTTTTGACATGTGGTGTCCCCCAGGGTTCGATCCTTGGACCACTCAGTATGTTTACATGCACAGTTATAGCTTGAGAAGGCCATTTAAGTGGTCTATTGCAGCCTTGAAATGGAACCCATAAAGATGTGAAGTTGTGTACAGGAAAGGCTTCGCGTTCAAGTGGTAACTGTATGGGAACACCGTTGCTAGGCAACCGCAACATGGACTTGAATAGATCGTATGCTTTCTGCTTGGTTTTCTTTATGGAGGAGCTCACAAACATTATGTCTTGCAGAAAGACAAGACGACAAAGGGGACAATCTACATTAACACATGCCAATCACAGGATTTTTGGAAATCCTTGTGACTCTATATCGACCCTGTCACCCAGACACGTGGAGTCCCCCGGGGTTCTATTCTTGGGCAACTATTTTTTATATTGCTCATACTCCCTTTGGGTCAAATCATACCAGATACCCTTCATGACAACACAGAATTAAGCTTGTACGACGCTTCATCAAGATTTTAGATAATTTTCCCCATCTCAGTCCTCTTTCTTCTGCAACTTCTACTTCTACCCTGTAAATACTGAGGATTTGAATCATGCTTTGTGGGTAATTTTTCTTCAAATTGATTTGGTACATCGAACCAATTTCCTCAATTATATTCTGCACAGGAGCTGCTGATTATCTGCAACATGTCATTTCCATAAAGTGTCAGCGAGTGTTCGCACATCACCAAGGTGAAGGCGAGGAACAATATAGTAAAAAGCAGAAGATAAAGTAATGTGAGCGCTGCATACACGTCATGTTGAGCTTGTTTTATTACCGTCATGTTGTTTGCCATGAAAACCCAAGGATTTTGTTATCTGAGGCAGGGAGATCATTATCTGTTTGAAAATGAATTATTCATGATATGGAAATGTTCAACGCTCTGACATATTACCACTGCACAAGGAGCTCATCTGTCCAGATGGTGGTGCTGCTCACAGGTTGAGAAGTATTGGAAGTAAATGAGGGATTTATAATGAAGCTTGTCTTGCAGCTGTCATATTCTTTAGAACCAGTTTTTCCCTCTGCTGCTGTCGGCTGTCACCTCCACTTCATCTCCTGCAGCCTCTTTCCACCCCGGACACGATCTCTCCATTAGTGTCCACAGGATTGTAAAAATGTAATCGTCGAGCGATGAATAAAGAATATCTCATTCTTAATTGATTCCTTCGAGGTAACTTTAAGTCGGAAGCTTTCACATCTTCATCAGGGCATCAATCGCCTCTCACACACCTCAGTCAATCGCTCGACTCACTCAAACACTAAGGCTTCATATCAAATCAAGCTACAGCTCCACTTTTACACGCGCCTTCATCAGAGCTCCACTGAGCTGCAGTCCCACCTGAAGCTCGGGAGAAGAACAGCTGTGTTGAATCCTGAGAGAAACCAAACTGTCTGATGTGAGAACGATGAAGTGCACACACAGGCTCATAAATCATAAAACTTCACCGGATCACTTTGTGAGAAAAGCTGCTTTAATCTTGCAGAACATGAAGCAGACATTTGAGTACAGGACTCTGTGACGTGTCCGATGAAAAACCTCCGATCCGCCTTCACACAGATCACCTGAAACAAACCGTTTTAAAACTGGTGCTTAAATTACATCGTTACACAGCAGGTACAAAATGTAGACTTTAAAAAAAGTTAATAATAAAATAGAATCTAGCCGTATAGCTCGGAAAACATCCTTCATGATTCATTCAGGTGAAGAGTGTTAATGTCAACAACACGGTGTGTGTGTGCAAACAATGAGGACCCTCAGGTTACAGTCCCTCAGGGTCCTCAGTGACAGAAGTAAACAAAAGAGTGTGTGTGTGTGCAGAGAGAGAGACAGTTAATGTGACTTAAACACTCATTAAGAATTCAGCAGGAGCAGCTTCACTCTCTGTGGAGGAGTGTGTGCAGAGAGGATGAATGTGTGTGTGTGTGTGTGTGTATGTGTGTGTGTGTGTGTGCGCAGAGAGGATGAATGTGTGTGTGTGTGTGTGTGTGTGTGTGTGTGCAGAGAGGATGAATGTGTGTGTGCAGAGAGGATGAATGTGTGTGTGTGTGTGTGTGTGTTTGTGTGTGTGTGTGTGTGCGCAGAGAGGATGAATGTGTGTGTGTGTGTGTGTGTGTGTGTGTGTGCAGAGAGGATGAATGTGTGTGTGCAGAGAGGATGAATGTGTGTGTGTGTGTGTGTGTGTGTGTGTGTGTGTGTGTGTGTGTGCGCAGAGAGGATGAATGTGTGTGTGTGTGTGTGTGTGTGTGTGTGTGTGTGTGTGTGTGTATGTGTGTGTGTGTGTGTGTGTATGTGTGTGTGTGTGTGTGCACACCGTGTGAGTCCTCCTTTCAATCCCAAATGAGAAAACAGCTTCACAGCGAGCTGCTTCTTTCTGTTCGGTTCTTCTTCAGGTGTTTTACAGGCGACTGTTCAAAGCGGACTGCGGTGACGGAGATATGAATTCACATGTTTACAGAATCCTTTTCTTCTTATTGCTCTGCAAAGCTTCGGGGGTGCTTAATGGATGTATTCTTTCTGTTCGGTCCCAACGAGGTCGCCTGCTGTTTCTGTGTCGTAGTCTTATCTCTTCAGCAACCAACAGAAGAAAAGCAGATCAGACTCTCCTAAGATAAGACATGACGCAAAAAGAACAATGCACAAGTAGTGGACAAACGCTGCATTCATGTGGTGTTGGACGCATCGGGAAAAAACGAGTTTCAGAGTTGGAAAATACTCATGAACGCCTGCTGAAGTCGGAGCAACAACTCAGAAACTTCAGCATGTTAGCTCAATGCAAAATGATTGAATACTTTTATAAAAAAGATGCAGTGACATAACAAAATTAAGAGTTAACAGCAAAGCACATGATGCATGTTGTTTTAGCAGCTTCTTCACTTCCTGCTGTTTCTACTTTTTGCATCTTTTTAAAGAATATTTGAGCTTGTTCTCTTGAGATGTAATTAGTTCCTCTGCATAAACCAAACACACTTTATGTGTTTTTTTCTATTTTCTGAACAGATGTTGGTTTTCTGAGAGTAAAAGAAAATCATCTTTCTCCCTTTCTCTTCGATCACAACTCAAATAGAAAACCAGTTTGTGCACAAACATACGACACAGAATCCTCTCACAGCAGTGTTTCTCCTCCGTCATCCCGCTCTGCATAGATTTAGTTTTAAGACACACACAGGTAAGTAGTGATAACAGTACTCTGAAGGGGGGGCGGGGCGGGGGGGGGGGGGGCTTTCTGTCCGGCAGCTTTCTGTCCGGCGGTGAGTCCTCCTGAAAGCTTCTCCGGGTCCAGAGGTCCTTTTACTCTGCAGTCATTCTTCTGGGCTGTCACAGAGGCACTTTAATAAAAAAGAAGCCGTTATTTACAGATTATCGGTCACTGGAGGAGTCACTCAGATTTAACATTGTTGAATAAAATCAAAGATTTCAACTCGAGGCTGAAGCCGTCTGTTTCTGCTGCGGTGGGATTGATTACTGATGACAGATCGACCACAGCACCTTACTTCCTAAAGCCTTTAAAGCTCTTTTTATTCTGTTCACAGCCTCTCTTCCCCGTCACACACACAAAGATCTCTAACCAATCCGACTCCTCCTGTGCTGTGATTGGCCAGGAGTACCGATAGATCAAACACAAGACTTCCCCCTTAAAGGCAGCTGATTGTGCGTCATTCTGAATGTTAAGAGCAAAAATCAAATCTTCTGTCAGTGCTGAAACAAACTCCAAAAATAAACAATGTCATTTTTTTCTCAGTCAACCAGTCGACATTAACTCTGAAGCTGTTTGTTGTAGCCCAGATTTACGAGGACAAAAATACTTGCCGCGTATGTTCCCGTCTGAGTAAAGGGGCGGAGCTAACCAACATCTCTCCAGTGGATAATTTACTTCATATTATAGACAACTACCTCAGACAACCAACATTTAAAAGTACAAAACTTTCCCTTTAAAGGCTTTATATGTGATTTTTTGATCCAGCAGATGTCGCCCTTGAGCTCCAGCATGAAACCAAAACAACTGGCACTGCATTGTTGTGTTAGCATGCTAATGCTAGCGATCTTTATTATGCTGGTATCTTCACACTGCATGTAAATTTACCTGAAATGAGCGTGATCTAGAAACACAGTTAAGCAGTGAGTACAGTATGTTATTCTTCTTTTCTCTAGTCCCTCAATTAAACAACTTTTATACACGAGGGGAGGAGTCAGCCGGCCGTCCCGGCGATGTAAACAAACTGAAGATAGGACTCTGAAAACTCTGAAAACATCACAGACAGTGGGACTCGGGTGTTACACCCATTGTAGACAGTCATGACTCACAGAGTTATTTTCAGAGGAGATACTTGATTTCTACATTTAAGGGTGAAAAATCACATATTAAGCCTTTAATGCAGATATTACCAGCCAGCGGCTGCACAGTTGAACTGACCAATCACAGCGCAGTAAGGTGAGATAAGGCAGAGCTGTTGTCCTCTATAGCAACATGTTAGCTAGCTGAGATCTGAAACGTGATGTCATGATCTGTCAGGTGTTGTAAAAAAGGTTTAGTAACACGTCATAGTCCTTTAAAACCTGGACTGAGATTCTGGTCTGTTCCTACCCAGGGAGGTGGTACTGTATCGAGTCCGCTGCAGGGTGGCGTAGCCCGGTTTGTCTGTTAGCAGAATCCGATGGGGGGGAGGGGCCACGACGTCTCCGTTCCTCTGCAGGGACGCACACCGCCTGAACGTCAGGTCCAGTCTGGTCTGGATGTTACTGGAGCTGTGAGCTCGCTTTATGTCCACGGGGTCGTGAAGCCCCGCCTTCCCGTTGACCAGCTGGACTTTGTTGCAGTTGTGGACATCGCACGCCTTCCTGTTGTCCGCTGCTCCCGTGGTCAGAGTCCCGTTGGACAGAGACAGTTTGGCTAAATTGCTGCACGCCAGCCGCCCCAGGTGTCCATGTCCGTTCAGACGCCGTGTGTCGTGCGTCCTTAACGGAGACCCGGGGGAGTCTTTCCTCATGAAGCCCGGTTTAAAAAAAGACAAGAGGCTCTCGTGGCTGCGGCCCTCCTGACCCCCCCGTCTGTCCTCAGGCTGAAGGACCAGGTCTTTCTGCGGTCTGGACACCCCCCCTTTGGCCCTTCTTAATGTGGAGTCTCTGCTCGGGGGGGCGCTGTGGCTGACGTGACCCATCAGGAGGGCGCCTCTGTGGAGCTGCAGCTCCAGCGTCCGGCCCTGGTCCTGCCGGGTTCTCTTGGACGCCCTCTGTCTCAGAGCGGCGTCCTCTCTGCCTCTCAGACTGTTGATGCTCCTCTCACCCGGGCGGCTCTGTCCCTCGGGGATTTTAGGAGAGTAACCGGCGTCGGAGCTCAGTCTGTCGCCGCAGCTCAGACTGCTGCCGCTTGGCGAGCTGCAGTCCTGTCCCGCCTCGTGTCCTCGTCCCTGGGCGCTCCTCTGCGGGGGCGTGGCCACCAGCGTTACAATCGGCTCTTTTGTGCACCGCGGCCGCCGTCCAGACTCCAGGTACTCCACCAGCTCACCGGGTGGTCTCTGTGTGGGGGGTTTGATCCTATCCTTAGAGCCAAAAGACCAGCGCAGAGGCAGGACTTTGCTCAGAGGCTCCTTCGCTTTGCTCGGGGATCTCATGCTCAGGCTCCGCCCCTGAGACCCGCGGAGGAACTGCTTGGATTCAAACCCGTCTGCAGGAAAACACAAAGTATGTTACAACAACCAGAGTAGATATGGGGCAACTATTTTAGATTTAGACTTTAGACTAGTCTGAGTCCTTTGACTGGAGAAGCAGCGTTCAGTTTCTATGCTCTCTATATCTGGAACAAACTCCCAGAAAACTGCAGGTCTGCTGAAACTCTCAGCTCTTTTAAATGGAGGTTGAAGACTCACCTGTTTACAGCTGCCTTTAATTAAATAGCTTTTTTTTTTTTTAAAGATTTATTTTTTGGGCTTTTCGTGCCTTTAATGCAGAGAGAGGACAGTGGATAGAGTCAGAAACCAGAGAGAGAGAGAGGACAGTGGATAGAGTCTGAAACCAGAGAGAGAGGACAGTGGATAGAGTCTGAAACCAGAGAGAGAGAGGACAGTGGATAGAGTCAGAAACCAGAGAGAGAGAGGACAGTGGATAGAGTCTGAAACCAGAGAGAGAGAGGACAGTGGATAGAGTCAGAAACCAGAGAGAGAGAGGACAGTGGATAGAGTCTGAAACCAGAGAGAGAGAGAGGACAGTGGATAGAGTCAGAAACCAGAGAGAGAGAGGACAGTGGATAGAGTCAGAAACCAGAGGAGAGGAGGACAGTGGATAGAGTCAGAAACCAGAGAGAGAGAGGACAGTGGATAGAGTCTGAAACCAGAGAGAGAGAGGACAGTGGATAGAGTCTGAAACCAGAGAGAGAGAGAGGACAGTGGATAGAGTCAGAAACCAGAGAGAGAGAGAGAGGACAGTGGATAGAGTCAGAAACCAGAGAGAGAGAGAGGACAGTGGATAGAGTCAGAAACGAGAGAGAGAGAGAGAGACAGTGGATAGAGTCAGAAACCAGAGAGAGAGAGACAGTGGATAGAGTTGAAACCAGAGAGAGAGAGGACAGTGGATAGAGTCTGAAACCAGAGAGAGAGAGGACAGTGGATAGAGTCAGAAACCAGAGAGAGAGAGGACAGTGGATAGAGTCGAAACCAGAGAGAGAGAGAGGACAGTGGATAGAGTCAGAAACCAGAGAGAGAGAGGACAGTGGATAGAGTCAGAAACCAGAGAGAGAGAGGACAGTGGATAGAGTCTGAAACCAGAGAGAGAGAGGACAGTGGATAGAGTCAGAAACCAGAGAGAGAGAGGACAGTGGATAGAGTCAGAAACCGAGAGAGAGAGAGAGAGGACAGTGGATAGAGTCTGAAACCAGAGAGAGAGGACAGTGGATAGAGTCTGAAACCAGAGAGAGAGAGAGGACAGTGGATAGAGTCAGAAACCAGAGAGAGAGAGGACAGTGGATAGAGTCTGAAACCAGAGAGAGAGAGAGGACAGTGGATAGAGTCTGAAACCAGAGAGAGAGAGAGAGGACAGTGGATAGAGTCTGAAACCAGAGAGAGAGAGAGGACAGTGGATAGAGTCTGAAACCAGAGAGAGAGAGGACAGTGGATAGAGTCTGAAACCAGAGAGAGAGAGGACAGTGGATAGAGTCTGAAACCAGAGAGAGAGAGGACAGTGGATAGAGTCTGAAACCAGAGAGAGAGAGGACAGTGGATAGAGTCAGAAACCAGAGAGAGAGAGGACAGTGGATAGAGTCTGAAACCAGAGAGAGAGAGAGGACAGTGGATAGAGTCAGAAACCAGAGAGAGAGAGAGGACAGTGGATAGAGTCAGAAACCAGAGAGAGAGAGGACAGTGGATAGAGTCTGAAACCAGAGAGAGAGAGGACAGTGGATAGAGTCTGAAACCAGAGAGAGAGAGAGGACAGTGGATAGAGTCTGAAACCAGAGAGAGAGAGGACAGTGGATAGAGTCTGAAACCAGAGAGAGAGGACAGTGGATAGAGTCAGAAACCAGAGAGAGAGAGGACAGTGGATAGAGTCTGAAACCAGAGAGAGAGAGGACAGTGGATAGAGTCAGAAACCAGAGAGAGAGGACAGTGGATAGAGTCAGAAACCAGAGAGAGAGAGGACAGTGGATAGAGTCAGAAACCAGAGAGAGAGAGAGGACAGTGGATAGAGTCTGAAACCAGAGAGAGAGGACAGTGGATAGAGTCTGAAACCAGAGAGAGAGAGGACAGTGGATAGAGTCAGAAACCAGAGAGAGAGAGAGGACAGTGGATAGAGTCTGAAACCAGAGAGAGAGAGAGGACAGTGGATAGAGTCTGAAACCAGAGAGAGAGAGGACAGTGGATAGAGTGAAACCAGAGAGAGAGGACAGTGGATAGAGTCTGAAACCAGAGAGAGAGAGAGGACAGTGGATAGAGTCAGAAACCAGAGAGAGAGAGGACAGTGGATAGAGTCAGAAACCAGAGAGAGAGAGAGGACAGTGGATAGAGTCAGAAACCAGAGAGAGAGAGAGGACAGTGGATAGAGTCTGAAACCAGAGAGAAGAGGACAGTGGATAGAGTCTGAAACCAGAGAGAGAGAGGACAGTGGATAGAGTCAGAAACCAGAGAGAGAGAGGACAGTGGATAGAGTCTGAAACCGAGAGAGAGAGAGGACAGTGGATAGAGTCTGAAACCAGAGAGAGAGAGAGAGGACAGTGGATAGAGTCTGAAACCAGAGAGAGAGGACAGTGGATAGAGTCTGAAACCAGAGAGAGAGAGCGGGGAATGACATGTGGAAAGGCCATGGGTGGAAGTGAAACCGGGCCTACCGCTCGAGACGAGAGTCTCAACACATGGGACGCGCGCCCTAACCACTGCCCACCAGCGCGCCCCTTAATTAAATAGCTTTAATAAGATTTTTAACTTTTACTCTGCACTGTAACCTTTAACTCTTTTTATATTTTTACTTCACTTATTTCAATTAATTTCATTTGAATTATTTTATTTGAACATATTTTCAGATTTAATAATTTCAGTGATTTTTAATGTTCATTTTAATGTTTCTTTTCTTTCCTCTGTCATGATGCTTTTTGATGTCTTATGTGAAGCACTTTGAATTGCCTTGTTGTTGAAATGTGCTACATAAATAAACTTGCCTTGCCTTAGACAAGAATGTTTGTTGTCTGCTTAAGTTTGAGTCAACGGAATCTCAAAACATAAAATTTCTTCTCATGAAGACGGACCTGACAAAGCTCAACTTTTTACGTTTTTACAAATCTGCACCATGATGTTATTCTAGCAAACTTAAGTTGTTCTAAGATGTTTATGTCTGTGAGATAAAGACTCTTCTCCAGATACTGACTCGTTTCTTGTGTTTTCGTCGGCTCGTCTCCAAACACAGGGAGCTCAGGAGACTCCGGAGCCTGATGAGGACCTGCAGGTCCAGGAACAGGTCCTCCTGACCCTACACTGCCCCGCTTGCTGCCCCCCGTCAGACGGACCAGCCAGTGGTCAGAGGTGGACGAGCTGGTGGAGCCTGAAACAAATGAAATCAGAATCAGAATCTGGGTTTATTGCCAAGTACATTTACACATACGAGGAATTTGACTTGGTGTATTGGTGCTAAACAATTAACAAGGAAATAAAGCAGAACTAGCAACAACTTAAATAATACAGAATAAGATATTACAATATATAAAATATAATTTAAAATGTAAAATGTAAAATATAAAAAACACAAAATGTACAAAAGGTGTAATAGGAGCTGTGCAGTGGACTATGAGAAATAAATTCTTAGTGTGTGTAACTACTCAAAGAGTGCATGTAAGAAAGATACATTTTTAAAGTCCAGTGGGCGTTAATGTAACGTAAAAGAGGAAAGTTGTGGACATAATTTAAAGTTTCAAAACAATAAAATGATTTCTGAGAGTTGGTCTGAAAATGTGTCAAATTGCATGCGACTAAGTTGAGTAGCTGCAGGGCTTGTGGTGATTCAAACACTTATTATCTATATATCTATTGTTTTTACTGAGCCCACAGCGAGAGCAGAACAACAAACCTGCCTCCACAGGGAAAAATCAAATGTGTACGATGGAACAGAATCCAGAAAAAGAGATTCATGCAGATATAAAAGGTTCAAAGCTCCTCCCACATTCCCCCCGTTATTTGAGCATGACGTCTGAAGGATGTGAGTCAGACTCTGTTCTCAACATGAGAAGCGTCTTCAGAGCATTTTAAAAAAAGGACCAACCTGTGAGCGAGGAGCTGGCAGACCAGAGAGGGATGGTGTTTCTTCTCTGATAAAAGAGGATGTAGGCTCCTCGTGTGCACACCTCCGCCTCAGGAACCGGCTCGCGCTGCTGTCGTCGTAGCTGTACCACTGAGCGTCCACCGAGTTCCTGCAGAACGCTGCACAGAGAACAACAATGGACTCAAATATTCTCATATCTTTGATGTCTGAGTGTGAACACAGCCACGTACCAGAGCAGGTCTGTTACTGTGGCGACCCACTCTTATAGAGCTGAAAACCAGAACTGGACCCCAAAGATAAGATAATCCTTTATTTATCCAACAACGGGGAAATTTACAGTGTTAATGGACAAAAATGTAGATAGATACCACAATATAGATTTAAAAAAATAGATTTAAAAAAAATAGATCAGCTGAGCTGCAGTTTTGACAAAAATGTAGTCAGAATATTCAGTGTAACACAGACATAGACCCCTCTAATCGTAAATCCTGCTTCATATCCTGTTTTAAAGTCTGACCTGTGTAATGTCCGCCGTGCATCCCTCCGTGGTGGTTGCACACGGCGTACAGGTCGTACAGGAAGTCAGGAGGAGCCGGGTCGGGTCGTCTGGACTGTTTCCAGCCCGGCTGCAGAGGGGGCTGATGGGAGGCGTGGCCGCGGCTCACCATGTGAGGCGTCATGTCCAGGCCGGCCAGAGGGAAGTGCACGAAGGTGGTGAGCTTGTTCCTGCGCTCGCCCACCTGTCTGAAGCGCTTCAGGTGCAGGATGAGGATATCGGGCAGCGTCCACAGGCTCATCTTCACCACGCCCTGCTGCAGCTGCTTACAGTGAGGACACTTCCAGGCGTCGTCCGGGGCCAGCTGCAGGAAACGCCACAGAACAGATTAGTGTTCTAGCAGGGTCATGTCCCCTGTTATACATGTGAAGACAACTATCAGGTAAGCATCACTTCCTGTCCGACGATATTGATAACACTAATTGACATGATTCAGCTGTACATTGTGAGATAGTTGTTGTATATTCTATTTGGCCGTTTATTAAGAAGCAGAGAAGAAGAAGAAGTAAGAAAATGGGGGGGGTGTTGTTGTTGTCAAACGCCTGGACCCAAAGAAGACTAATGACAATCCTTATAAACAAATAAACAAATACACCTGTAGTGATGTGTGATCTACTCTACTCTATTCTATGTCCTGACTGAATGAAGTTTTTTTTTAGTTTTTTTTATTCCTTCATTTTATAAATTAACAAAAAAAGTCCTGAGAGAAATCCAAATTTTATGATTGCAGGATTCATCATCACTGATGTTAATATTTATAAGTTTGGAGTTATAAGTGAGGATAATGATCAGGAGTATTTTCCATCCTCACGCCTGCACCTCCACCTAGTGGTGACACAAGGTAACGCAGCCAACGCTCCTGAACTGTGTTAACTGTTGATTGACTTTGATATAAAATACTAAATAACCCTGATATTTATGAAAACATGTCCTCTCTTACTCTCACTCTTACTGATTTATTCTTGTTGTTGGATTGGTTTGATTTTAAGGTCATAAAGAACGCCATTTTTAAACATTTACTGTTTCACTAACAACATTTTGAAACAACATCACTAACTCCCAACAGAAGGTGAAGGAGGTCAAAAAGCTTGATGTATGAACATCAACACAACAGAAGGTCTGAAAAATGCCGATCTAGGAGAAATGAATGATCCAAAAATGGGTTAAAGTGATGTGGAATTAGGGCGTGGCCTCTTTGAGTGACAGGTGGGAGCTGTCTGCAAGGTGTCACCTCAGATATCAGTCTTGGGATAAACAAACCCTGAAGTGATTTAGTTTTTCTCATCAGTGTCGACCTCCTGAGGAGAAAAAACTCTGAAGTAGATTCTAACGATGTAGCTTACCTTAAAAAAATATGTTTTACAGAAACGATATGAACATGACATCATCAGCTGATCGGGGTTTTAACTGACCTGTTCCTCTTTGGTGTACAGCTGGAAACACTCGTCCAGCGTGCAGCTGTACGCCTGCACGTGCTGCTGCTGCTGATTCCTCACGCTGTCCGCGTCCTTCACCACCTCCTCGTGGATGTTTCCAAACAGACTGCAGGTGGTGAACACGGAGACGTTTGAAAAAACCTTTAAGGTGTAACCATGACGACACAAAAGCGGTCTGAGACAGAAGTGAACTGACCAGTCTTTGATCCTGTGCTCCCACTCGATGATGAGCTTCACATGTGGAGGTCCTCCTGAGCCGCACAGCTTCAGAGCTCTGAGAGATACACAGAGGTCAGAGGTCATTTGAGGAAGAGGAGGAGCATCTGCACAACCTCACTCCTCCATTAAGACAAACTTGAACTTCTTTTCATTGATGAAATGTGCATGAACAGTTACTGTGCATCTCTGAGCATCCATTAGATCTTCTAGTCCTTTATGAGGCATCCAGACCCCCTCAGGTCCTCTGGTACAGGTCCTCGGTCCTCAGCTGTGGAACAAGCTGCCGGACAACCTGAGGTTTTCTGTCCTGCAGCCTTCTGATAAGTTCAACCTCTTCTGTCCATATCTAATTATTTTGATTGCTAATGCCATGGTATGGTAACCTTTCTGTTCAGAACAAAAATCGTCTTTGCAGTATCGTCAATACAGCCAGTAAAACAATCGGCACTCAGCAGCTTTCATTGTCAGATATCTGGAACAGACAAGTTGTTAGGAAAGCAAAGTCTATCTTGTCCAGCTCTGACTGTCGTCCTCTCTTAGAGGAATCTGTTCTTCTCTCCTCAGGTTGGAGGTTCAGGCTGCCCAGGGCTAAGGCAAACAGATTTCAATGTCATATGTTCCTCGTGCAATTAATGCTCTTAAACTTCTTTAAATCCTTGACTGCACTTTCAAGCAGAGCTATTGCACTTTATATTTATCATATTTATACATTTATACCATTTGAGTGAAACTTCTTAACGAACAGTGAGTTTTATATTTCTTGGTTGTATTTCATCAGGTTGTGTTGCACTGTCTGTTTATCTGTTGTGTTTTTGTGTCCACTGCTGCAAATCAAATTTGACAATAAAGATCTGAACTGAAGTAAACATCACATAAAAAAAGAAGAAATCCTGCCCTGCAGTGATGCCTTTTGACCACTAGGTGTCAGCACTACCACAGTATATAATGCAGCATGACTAGACGGAGACATCAGACACATGACAGGAACTGAAGAACTGATGTGGATCTGGAGTTCAGATTTTGAATCCAAACTGCAGCAAGAACGAGCTTCCACATGTCGGCAGGTCAGCGTCAAGAAGAAGACGAGAGGTTCATAAATATGCAGAGTTTTAGGATTTATATGTAGCGGTCAATGAGCCCAGATACAGACACAGGGAAAGGATGTGAGTGTGGGATGAACAGTCGGGGGACTGATTTGATTGACCTTCTAAACATTTTACCACAGTATCACAGATCTCTTCACAAGGACACTAACACACGTTTGTTCTGACTGTAGAGCAGCTCCTTTTCTTTTCTGAATCATCATATTTATCATTACATTCGTTTCCAGGGACACAGCGTGTGGCACATTAGTGTGTCAAAAGATTGAAAGCTCCATCAGGCCGTTGAATGAGCCGCTCTTAGAAACCACACAAATAGACTTTCTGAACGAGGCTCCTTTGAAAACACAAACAACTGCAAGAGAAACGCCATCAGACATCAGAGCACTGAAAAGGAGATGCTGGGAAATAAAAACTCTCACCTTTACAGTTTAAAGGATGAAAAAAAGGTCTGACATTAAAACCTGGACTTAATCACACCTGGTTATAAACGATACCATTCATTAAGAAATACTGAATCTGAAATATTTGTAACGATATCAAACCCAAACGTCTTCTCACAGCTGCTGGACTTACTGAATGTGTGTGTGACATCAGAGGTCTTAGAATAAACTTAAAGGGACCCTCACCTGTCCACAGCAGG